TTGTGAGGTTGATAATGGAAATCCATGGATAGGTGTAATTTCCACTCTTTCATAAATGGGTGATAGAATAGTGAGACTAAATTCAAGTATTTTGCTCAGTTCTCATCTAAAAGTTCAAGTCGTTGGAAATAAACTACAATTATTCATATAAATTCCATCTTTAACTTTAATATATTTCAAATAAAGAATTATGTGTTTCCACGACCTTTGAGACCCTAAAAAATGGACAAATCAAACGAATGACATCTTCTTTTGAAAATCTAGAATTTTTTCCTAAATTAAACGGAATTGTTTTGTGATTTTTTTTTAATTGAATAAAATTCTTAAGAATAAACAGAAGATATTGTCAGAAGGCGACTAGAGATATTTTCATTCTTGTGCTAATACCCCCCACACAAAATAGATATTCAAACTCCAACATTAACCAGAAGCAAGCATCATCCATGGAATCCTCCACTCTTGTTCCAGTCTCCCAATTCTCCTTTCTCCCACCAAAACCCCATAACAGAACCAGAATGAAAAGAAGAAATTTTTTCACAACTATCCAATGTAACAAGATGTATGTACCTGGTGAGTACAATTAATCAAATTCCCATTTACCCATTCGGAAATTTACTATTTCTTCTCTTATGTACGCAGTACTGAACAAGTCTGTTTACAGGATTTGGTGAAGCCTCTCCAGAAGCCAAGGCAGCAAAACAACTCCATGACTTTTTCACATACATTGCTGTTAGAATTGTCAATGCACAGCTTGAGGTCCCCCCTCTCCCCGGCCCACAAGAAATTCTTGGTTTATTTCTGTATTTGGATGAATTTTATCTTAAGTTGGTTGACAGAGCAGAGTTACAATCCTGAGGCACATGCAGAACTGATGGAGTTTCTTGAAAAACACTCTTTAAAAGATGGGGATAAGTTTTGTGCTGATTTGATGCGAGAATCGCCAAGACATAAAACTTTAGGTGTATATCAACAATCTTAAATATCTCACTTCACATGCTAAATTAATTATACGTAGTTGCTAACACTTAGAATTTCCTTGCTTTGCTCTGCAGCCTTGCGCATATTAGAGGTCAGTATTTTTCTTGTAAAATCTAAGGACGTGTTTGGCTGGACTTCTGTTTTTACTTTTGCTTCTTATACAAGAGCTTTTAGAGGAAATTGAAATTATTAAGGGCCCCGTTTGGCATGACTTTTACTTTTATATTTGCATCATGTAGAAGAGTTTTTGGAAAAAGTTACCTTAATTTTTGTTTTAAAATTAACTTTCAAAAGAACTTTCCATTCTGGAAGTTCTTTTAGATGAAGCCACATTGGACCTGTTTTCTCTAAATGCTCTTCTAGCTAGAAAAAGCACTTTCATAAAAGTAGTCAAAAGAGTCCAAAGTAATTTACGAGTCTCAAAAGTTATGCAATCGAGCCATAAAACAAGTTCAAAAGTAGCTTTTTAGTCTTAGAAACAGCTTTTGACTTTTCAAAAGCCTTATCAAACGAGCCCTAAATAAAAAATTGTTGGATTTATATTCTTTTCTAGTTCTAAATTCATCTTCTTCATGAAGGTTCGATCTGCATATTGCAAGAATGATTTTGAATGGGACAACCTAAAGCGTTTGGCATCAAAGGTATAGTCAATATTACTTCTTATTAGTTCCTTCTCTAACTTACTGTTTAATTGACCAAGTATTTGCTTGTATATTAACAGATGGTGGATGATCATAATACAAGACTTATGAGAGATTATGTCTTGGAAACTAGTCACGAGGAAAGTTAAAAAGTCAGAGACATTCTTGTTTAGCAATTGTACCATGTATTATGTATATCCGTCCTAGCAGATGATGTACATTGAAATGTTCTAATCAGAAATTAAAAGGAAAAACTTTCAATGTGCTACCATTTATTGAAACATATTTCTTTTGTACCACTAAAGTAATAATCTTGTTTGCACTTGCAATACAATCTTAAAAAAGCTGAACTCATTAAGAACACATTTATAGAAGCAAATTCGAAACTAATAACATTGTACTTACAATACAATATTGCAAAATCTAATCCATAGTTTCTTCATGATCCTCCTGTGGCTGCAACAACTTAACTCAATAAGAGTGCGTAGATTGTGTGCCTTGTGAACTTCATGGAGGTGAGGCATCTCGTATTCAAAATATAGAGAAATTCTAGAAGACAATAAATTACCTCAAGGTAGCTTCTGACATCAGGAGAAGTTTGAGCTTGCCCTTTACTAAAATATGACAGAGCATTTTCTTCAATATTTTCCACCCTGCAATTTTCATTTAAGCAGTTCGGGGTCGGTCAGGCTTTAAATTTAATCCAATAATACCATTTCACTGATTACATGCTGTAAAACCTATAATCAAGTGATCATTAATTTCAAAACTCCGAAAAAGTATAAAGCAGGGTGCAGGCCCCAGGGAGTACAAAAACTTCATGGGTCAATTATCATAGAAGTTTGATGTAGAAAAGCAAATCTGGAAGGCATCATGAGTTTAACAAGTTACCCGAGTTCTCTCTAAGGCAAGTGGTGAAATAATCTAAACAAAAACAATAGTATTCCAGAGTCTTACCTGTAGATGTAGTTGACCATTATTCCTGCGCTCTGCTTTAGGCCATTATCTGATCGATCTGCCATCCAATTTAGTCTTCCAACCATCTGTAAAGATACGACAATAATTTTGATTAATAGTCATCATAAAGCTAATTGTGAATTTGTTGAAATAGACATATTGACAGTAATTAGGATTGAACAAACTGTAACCGGCGAAAAGGAAGCAGAGTACTATTATGCTTATTACAATTGCGTACATACCGCTCCATTTTGCAAATGGAAATTTGCAACAGAGTCTAGAGCCTTCCCTCTTTTCTTCTCTTGAAGAAGGTACCTGAAGTCAGGGAGTGGAAGCCAATAATGCAGAAAGCATAATATCATTAACGCAGCAGTACAGAAATAGATATGACTGCACGTCCATATTTTTCAGTTTTTTGTACTGTTAGTGCACAACTGATCAACCCTCCTAGGCTCTATGTTCAAGAACATACCTGGCACATAGTCGCATTAAGGGGGTATTCAGCACAGACATCAACTCGGCTGAATTGGTCCACTCATAATTGGGTGACGTTAACAACTTCCACATTACTTCCATCCCATTTTTTCCGGTTGCTAATTCTCTGTCATAGACAAATTAATTACAAGATTGACTCACATTTAAGCAGGCGGTGAAGATAAAGTTTTTGTTTTCCGAATCATCCAAAAGTGATGATGATCCAGTAATTCAGGAATGACAAAGTAAATAGAAATGAAATTCTTTAAAGATATACTTTGATTTCGGACCATGGAGAGAGAGAATAAGAGAGACTCATTTAGCCATGCTTCGATGCAAGCATAGGGGAAAAGGATCTCAAACGGAAAACATGTGGAGAAAGATGTAATGTATCATCAGCACATATAAAATGACACGATCGGATGGAGAATGACATATCAGTCTTCAGTTTCATAATGCTACCTTTAACTTTAAGGAAACAAAGCGAAAACTCATCACACAAATACAAGTATTTGGGGAATTCAGATAGGAGTAACGGACTAGCACGGAGAATAGAGTATACGGGATTAAGCAGCCAAAGATAGTTGAAATATATAAACTTCGAAGGTCTGTGAGGAGAGAATGAGGGACACATTTATCTTCCAAATCCTGTTAATGATGACAGCCCAATAGAGAGTAAACGACTACCTTAGGTACATTAGAAACAGAAAGTAATACAATCACTTAACTCCTTTGAGGTACCTCAGAATTAATGAAAGGAAGGGTCTAACTTCCATGCATAGCCATGCTTTGCCCATCCCCATCCCCATCCCTGCCCCCACCCCCGAAAGAACCAAAAACGTAGAGAAATCTAAACATATCATCAGCAAGAAAACTGTCAAAATGTGTTCTTACCCAGCAGCATCAATGAGTGCACTTTCTTCTTCTGGTTTCAGCAAGTGTTCTTTGAAAGTGGAATCAGATCTCTCAGCAGATGCCAACTTTGACAAAAGCCATGGCATATAACCTGGAATAGGACTAAGCGTTGCAAATGTCTGCAGGGGAGAAAGATTTGCTAATTATAAATAGCAAGAAACAAAACTCAATTTCTTTGGTGAACCATGAAGTCGGTAAGGTCAACTTGCAGAGTCTCTTTTGCTTTTTGACAGCATATAAAAAGCGTCACATACTGTTAATTAATTGGCGAGGTGGGTAGTGAAAATGGCCTAACAAATTGTGAAGAACAAAAACTAGCACTTAAATTTGGAATGCCTTAAATCTCAAACTCCAATGCGTACGAATATACTACTTGTACTTTTCACGTGTATTACAAATCAGGAAAAGATGAATTTGTGGAAGCAATGTCATATTCCCCTCTAAAAAATTCAAGTTACAAGCTAAAAATGAAAAGCAACAACCCTAATGGGGAAGTATTCAAGAAAAAAAAAATTGAAAGTGTAAATATCAGTTACCGTTTTTCATCAAACATAGTAAATGTACTTTTTTCAGCTGTGAATAAAAAGTGGGAGTGAGTGGGTGATATTCCTATTAATGTTGTGTAAGTACCTGCATCTGATTCGTACCAAATCGATTACAAAGGCTTTCCCCAGCCCAACATGGTGGATTGGACTTGTCAGCTCTGGTGGTCTGTTTATCCAGTTTTTATCACCCATGTGGAAGAACAAATAGTACAAAATGCATAACTCTACTTTATCTCTTTAAATCAAGGTGTATGTGAGTATTGGCCTACTGTTTTACTAGTTTCATGGACAGTTTTAGCATGCTTCGGTTCAACATTCATAATGATTAGAGACTACATAATTAGCATGGAAACCTACATGGAAAAAGAAATGGTATAAAAAAGGAACTGGTGTAACTGAGTTAAATCTTGAACTTCCATCTTACAATGAGTGTTTAGATTAAAGACCTTCACAAATTAGACGTCTAATCAATATAGAACTTACGGATATACTTGGCATGTCTTTCCTCACAACATCAATCACACGTTTAATGAGGAACTTTCCCAGGTTGATGCCAGATAAGCCAGGCTGTACATGAGAGAGAACAACAAACACTTGAAAGGAAGTTAAATGTTAAATGATATAACCATGAAGACAATAGTACTATGCTGTAGCGATGCAAACCTTGGAAGAGAAAAAAGAAATGCACGATCAAAATTCAAAATCATTCAGAATAAAGTACATCTCAAAAGCATTAAGAAAGAGAATCAGCAAGGGCGACTCCAATTAAAATAAAGGAACAAAAATATTTACTATAAGAAAAGGAGGAACCACTCGGTCACTGGTCAAGTATTTTTTTAGACATAGTTGCCAACTGAAGTAAAGGGAAGAGGTGTAAAAAAGATGTGCACCCATCAATGGATAGTCAAACCAGAAAAAATATCGGTTGTCAGAATGAGCATAAGAAAACTGATACTATTTTATTATCTTGAAAATATGATACCAAAATAAGCTCTTGAGTTAACAAATTAAAATTTAAACATATACAAAAATTTAAAATTAATAAATCTTCAAAGTATCATTTTGCACTTACTTGAGTTGATGATATAGAGTAAAAGAGTGCGCATGTTGCCTCACATTCAGGTATTGGTGGATCATCCCATAAAACTTCCTGCAATAAGTTTTTCAATTATAATTGTTACCTTGATACTCAAACTTCATGATATTGTGTAGAAAGTAATCTACCTGTATTGTCTGGGCCACGTTCTTCATGAGAGCAACTTCAATAAATATCAACGGTTCGCCTAAAGGCAAATAAATTATTTTAGAGCATTAACTATAAAATGCAGCGAATGTACGCTGCAACCCAGTGACACGCATTTAAAATATTTCACGTGATGTGCATTGTATGTACAATTTCTCTAATTTTACACTCTAATTTTACAGGAAATGCATTATACATACAACTTCCATAGTTTCCTCAGTGCGATGGTGATAAATGACGAAATATGCAGATTATGAGCAGTGGAAGGTGGTTCAAATCATGAGTAACTTCAGTTGGAATTTCTTGCACTCCTCGTGACCATAAGAAATGATCATCAAACAGACGCTTCACACAGTCAGTCAAAATTTTGGTCCATAGTCTTAACTCACGTGCTAAACAAAATACTACAGGTCCATGTTGATATTTGTTATCGGGCCTCTGTTGCAACGATTGATTGTATTCAAGAGAATGGTAACATGTATTCTACAGAAAATATGGTGGCAGGAATTGACCAAAACCACGTTACTTTTGCTCTAGACTAGACAATAAAAGAGTGCTAACCTGGGATAGCCGGATGTAAATATCCAAAACAACGACGACCTACACCCAGCCTTCGCTTCAGATCTAAAAGATTGCTGATTGGATGCACTGCCTGTGGAATGCCAATGACAAAATTACTCGTGTCAGATTGTGCAACATAAGGAATGACTATATCAATGATGTGATGAGAGCCAAGAAACAGACCTCGTACGCTACAATCTTCTCCAACAAAGATGCAGGATCATCCCAAGTTATGTGATAAAGCTGGAGGTTTGCAGGACTGAGCCATGTGATAAGTTTTTCCTTCAAGTACGAGTCAAGTGCTCTCAGTGCAGCGATATTTTCCTCTCTGCATTTGAAAATAATAATAATAATAATAATAATAATAATAATAATAATAATAATAATAATAATAATAATAATAATGTGGTCAAGAAAATCTGAATTGTATTGAAGACAAGAATGATATAAAACA